ATATTAAAAATCTTTGAACTTAATTAATAATTTCTAGTTAAATATAATATTAACTTTTTCTAAATCTATTTTTATATTTTCTAAAATAATAATCAAATCAAAATACTTAATTCTTTTTATTTTAAATTTATATTTATTAATATCAATTTATAATATAATATTAATTAATTATTAAATTATTTTACAAATATATTTTCTATAATTTATAATATTCTTAAAATAAATAAAAATATTATTCAAATATATTATATAAATCCTATTTAGAAAATCAAAAAGGATATAGTTAATATAATTCTAAAATAAAATAAATATATTATAAAATCTAAAAAATATTATTAATAATTCAAATAAATCAAAATAAATAATAAAAGTAATTTTCTATTTATAACCTTTTACAATTTATAATTTATTAAAAATAATAATAATATCAAGCTTAATATAGATTTTAATATAGTAAAAAGTATTAAGGGTTTTTTTAATTAATAATAAAAGATATTAATTCTTAATAATAATATTATTTAATTTTTAATAATCTTAATAAATTCAAATACCTTCTTTAGATTTAATAGTTAAAAGAAATAAAATAATCAATTGAAAGTGAAACTTCTAAATAAATCCTTTATTCAAATTATTATTAAGTTATTTATAAACAATTTGAAATTCGATTGGGAATATTGAATAGTTTTTATTATATAGTAATTCTTTATTTAATATAATCTCGATTTTGTAATTTTAGAAATATTATAATAAAAATTTATTAATAAAAAAAGATAGAAATTCTAAATATAGATTATAAAGCTAGAAAAATAATTTATCTTGGATTTTTATTATAAAAAAAATAAATCGATTTGTTTTTTTTATAAACTTATTAATATTACTATTTATTAAATTATAATATAATTAAATAATATTTTCTATAATTATATAATATAGTTTGTAAGCTTTATTCAATTTGTTTTAGGATATTTTTATAATATAAGTATTTTAATTCTTATAAAATTATATAAAATTATTAGTTATAAAGAATTTTATATTCTATATTTCAAATTAAATATTTCATAAAATATTAAACAATTTATCTAAAAAGTTTAATAATATTAATATATATAATAAAAATAAAATATTTTGGTTTTATAATAATCTTTTATATATTCTGAAATTAGTAATTATTTAAATTAAAATTAATTTCAAAATTGATTAATTCGGGATTATTTTAGTTTGAATATTTATTTTATTATTAATATAATAAATATAATATAGATTTAATTTAAATAATACTTTGAGATTAATAATATCAGAATTTTTTTAAATATTTGGAATTTCAATAAATTTAAAAAGTACAAATTAATCTTGAAATAATAATAAGATATTTTTAAAGCTTTTATTAATGATTTTTTTTATAAAAACTAATTTTAAAATAAATTTTTATAAAAATGATTTAGAATTAATTAATATAATTTTATTATTTTTTAATAAAATTATTTTTTGATTATTGATTATATCAAGAATAATAATTACTATAAAATTAATAAAACAATGATATCTTAAGTAATATATAAATATAAATTTGAATATTATTATTAATTAATTAATAATAGAATTATAATATTAAAGCTATAAAAGATTAAGAATTATAAGATTTATAATTAATAAAGTAATAATATAAAACAAATTAATCTCTTTATAATTATTAATTTATATATTTAAAAATATATATTATAAAAAATATTGGAGAATTTTTTATTAATTAAAAGTAAATAACAAGTATAAAAGAAAAAATATATAAATATATAAAGCTTAAAGATAATTTTTCTATTAATAAAGTTATAGTTTATAGTTTTATTATCTATAAAACTAATAAGTGAAATAATTATATTAGATACAAAAAAGATTTCTATTGAGATTTTAAAAGATTTATTATTTATTAATTTAAGATATAAAGAATCCCTAAATATAATCAATTTTTTAATTTACAAAAATAAATTTCTTATAAAGAATCTCGATTTGTAATTATAAATTAAAATTAATCTTTTAATATATTTAATTAGAAAATTAAGTTTTTGCTTTTTTTTAAATAAATAGATTTCTTAATATATTCTTCTAAATTAATTTCTTAAATAAAGCTAAAGAGAATTAGAGAGGTATAGTATAATAATATAATTAAAAAATAATTAATAAATAGAAACAAATTTTAATATAAAAGAATAGTAGTATTATAATAGAATTCAGGGCTTTAATATTAATTAGTTATTAGAAAACAATTAATGTGAAAGATATATTTTATATTAATATTAATATTAATATTAATATTATATTTTATATTATTAGCTCTTTTTTTTTGTAATTGTTTTTAATATAATTAGACTTTTTATAATAAAAGTAAAAACCAAAATTAATATATTATCTTTGAATATAATAAGATGGAGAATATTGATTTTATTAAGCAATATTTAATTATATAGGGTTATTAAAAAGATTAGATATAAAAGGAGATATAATAGTGGTTTGCTTTTTATTATAAGATTTTGATTGTTTATAATTAAAGTTGATATTTTAATTTTTTTGTTAATTATTAAAATAAATCTTTTCTTTCAAATTATTATAAATATTTTATTATTAAATTATTTATAAATCAATATTGATAATAAAGGATTTATTAGAATAATTAATTAAAGTATTGATTAATTCTTATAAAATCTTAAGCTTAAGATTAGTAACTTATTATTCAATAATTTTCCTATATTTAATAACAAACTATTTGAATTTAATAATAAAGTTATTAAACGGAATTTTCTTTATCTTATATTTATTATAATCTATAAAAGTTTTATATAAAAAATTAAGAGTTTAATATTACTTATTCAATTTATATTAAATACTTATTACAATATATTATTTGAAAAACCAAAGATTAAAATTATATAGATTATTAGTAATTGTATTAAAGTATATCTAATTATTTGTATAAACAGAGCTAAAAAATAAGTTAATAAGAAATATAATCTTTTAAAATTCCAATTCATTTTTGTAATCTATAGTTAAATAATAATTAATTATATTATAGAATATTATATATTAATTCTAATATTTTATAATATTTTGCTTATTATTATTAAACTTTTTAAAGATAATAAAATACTTTTAATAAAACAAAACTTATAGATTATTATAAATAAAAATTTTCAATATTTCAATTATATTCTTTAATTCAATAATTTTTAAATAAATATTAATAATTTGGATTTATATTATAGCAATTTAAATTTATAATAAACTTATAATCAATTCGATTAATTCAAATATAACTTAGGCAATTATAAAGTGTATAGTATTTAAATCATTAAACAAATCTATAAATAAAAAAATATTAGTTTTAACAAAATTGAAAATATAATTCAAAAAAAAAAACTATAAGAATAAACTAAATGCAGATATTTGATTAACTATTTTTGAAACACTTTTATAATTATAAAACAATTTTGTAGAATTTCTGAATAATAATAATTAGGATATGTAATAGATTAATAATAAATATAATCGATATAATCGAATTATGATTTTAATAGGAATTTAATTAAAATAAAGTTATAATAGTTTCTATAAAGATAGTACAAATTGTTAAAATATAGGTAAAGATTTATATTGTATTATAAAAGTAAAAGAACTATGGAAAAGTAAGGTTCTATTTATAAAAGGTAGGGTACACTAGTGATCTATGCTTGAAACACGAAGGTAATTATAGAATACGTAGTTGGCGCCGTGACAAAAAGTTTTTTAAGTATATTATGAAAAGAATAATATTATATATTTATATTTATTATTATATTCAAATTATCTAATTTAATTATTTGATATAAATTATTTTAGTAATCTGAAATATTTATATAGTAATTAAATTAATAAATTTATTAGAATATATATCAATTATATTTTGAAAATTGAATTCTTTATAGTTTTTAAATTATATATAAAGAATTAATTATTTCTTAGAATATAAAAACAGAGTTTTATGAAATAGATTTAATTCTATTTAATTCTGAAATTGTGATTTTAAAATTAGATATTCGAATTCGTATATTTGTTTCTTTTTTTATTAATTTAAATTAATAAATCTTATAAATCTTTTATAATCCAATTAAACTTTTTTTTTAATTAATATTAATTAAATCTCAAATAACTTATTATCAATTAAGCTCTCCTATATCTATATTCGAAATTATATTAACTTTAGCTAAAGATATAAAAAGATTAGTTTATAAAAATACGCTTTTAAGTATAAAGAATTATATACCTCAAATAATAAATGAAATATTAACTAGATATTAATATATTAAAAAAACCTAATTATATCAAGAAAGAATATTTATTAAATAAAAGACTTTTAATATATTATTTTAATAAAAGATTGATATTCAGATTTAATATAATAAGCATTAAAAAGAAAGGAATTCTAATAAAGAAGTATTTTCTAATTAATATTATAATAAATATAGAAAAACAAAATATAATATAAGAATCTATCAAAATAATATAATAGATCCTAGATTATTAGATTTTTAATAATTTCAATCAATTGATTCAATTATTGTTGAATAATATAAGTTTGAAAGTATAAATTGAGGTGAAAGTGAGCTATTTAGTGATATAGACTACTCGGTATTAAACTACGTTATATGTATGAAAATTCTTCAGCATCGGAATAATATCGGTCCGATGCCGGTTCTATATCGATGCCCGTAACATATATTGATATTTTTGTTTTTCAAGAGCCTTAGATTAAAACTAAAAAGGACAATAATTAATTGGAGAGATTTTAATAAAATTACTACCCACCTATCGAAATAAATCATCACTAATAATAATCACTAAAAAAGTCCATGGAATAATAGTTAGTATTTGCCTGATATATTTCCCAATACAAAATCCTAATAGAAAGCAACAATCTTTTTCTTTCAAATCTGATAACTAGTTAACTATTTCATCCTTAAGTAACATGAGCATTATGTAGCGAATATCTGCTTCGAGAATATGCAATTGTGTAATGTCTCCATTGTAGAGAAATTTGTAACAGAGAATTTTATATCCTCTAACGTCTTCATTGGTTTGATTGAATCAGCAACTTCTGCACGAACTCCAAGCAATTCGGACTGCGAAGGTCAGTATCAGACATGGCATGTTCAAATGATAAGTATATTTGACTTACTGTATCCAAGTCTAACACGGTGAAAGCAGTCGTTGACAGAACTTCTTGCAGCTGTACTCTCAGATTGTTCTGGACTCCGCCATCGGCTGTAACGTGTACATCCAAGATTCCCTAAAGCTTGTCAGTACCACGGCATCTTACTTTGGCATCGAACAAAAGTTGGTGCAGTTTTAATTACCTCGACTATTGGATTGCTCAACACTTCTGGTTTGCTAGTCTCCGACACATCGACAGTGCCTTCATAGCTAGATTCAGGCAGAGCAGTCTCACCCTGTGCCATCGTTGCAGTAACCATCGGCATCGCTGCGGCGGTGAGCATCATACTACTGATATTGGCGATAGCCGGATCTTCATTGGTCCAAGCATTCACTTCTCGATCATGTTGTTCGAGTTCCTACTGAAGTCAGCTGCTAGCACAAACACATACACAGATAATCAACTCACATTCGCAACAGTGCTTCTGTTGAACTTGTAAAAATCATTGCGGAAGCCTTGTCCAAACTTCTTCTCGAAGATTTCTGGGCTCAGCTCGATCCACTCGTCCTTGAAGAAATCGCCTGAAGGTCAGCATATGTTATAGATTTGCAGTTGAAACATACTGAATAAAATAACCCAGTTGTTGTAGACCTCGAGCTTTCGGTAAGCTTGAGCTGCCTGGAGTCGCGCACTATACAGGTCGTCGATCGCTTTTCGGAGTTTCTATTTCACGTAAGTTGATTCTTCAGGCCGTCTTTGGTGGGCATCTTTACCTCTCTCTCTTGTCCTCCATTTATGACATCTATTAAACCTGCGACTAGAGCTACCACCCCCATTGCGGCGCTGACACCAGCGAAAACGGACCACCCCACTGGACCAGAGATAACGGAAAACAACACGAGGCCTCCAAGGACTATTCCACTGCCGGCAGCCACTATACCGCTGATAGTCAGCAAGAAGTTGTCTAGCCAGTGTTCCTGTGAAAGACTAGGAGAATAAGCACGATTCTTGGACAAAAGTTTTAGCCGGAAAAACGGCCTTTTCCCACCTTGTCTTCAGAGTTGTCCACTCCTTGAGGGCATCCCCACTCAATGTGCTGTTGACCTTGCTCACAAGATCGTCAAGCGTGGTGTATCCGAATTTCTTGAGATACGCGTCAATTCGACCGCGCACAACTGGCTCAAGGCTATCACTATGCATATTCGATGAGCTGTTGAAACGCTTAGGATAGCATGTTATCTCTTACAGTGTTTTTTTGTGTTCGTTAAACGTTGCACACCACCATTTTGTTTCGTTCGAGAGCTGTTCAGCACGAGCTCTTCTCTTGGGATTATCAGGATAGAAGATATCACCAATGCCGACTTCTGGCATGCTTGAACCGCCTCCCATTTTTGCAGCTTTCAGATTGTCGCCCAAATGACAGTGTGAGGTAACATAAATGAACAAGTTTTAGACCTACTCAGTCAAGTTGAGAAGCTGAAATCTTGCCCTTACTTTTGGAACCATTCAGAACAAATAAGCACCAAATGCATTGCGACTGAGCTTATTCTACTTTTTATGAGTGCGCACTTCGTAACGTGTCATCAAATTCGAACCCTTGCTGGAGAAAATCGTGCTAATTGCTCAAGCTGCAGAAGTCTCACATGTCAAACACAAAATTAAAACCATTTCCGTTGGTGAAGGAGCTCACGATTCAGCTCATGCAGCTAAAGATCTACACCATACAGAAGTGCATTGAGAAGAAGTCTTACCAGCTCCTTGACATTGAAGCCACAACGAGCCTCTGTGACTTTAGGTTCCGATTCAGCAGGTATCAATTCTGCGTGTACAGTGCATTTCACTTAAACTGATTCACGTCCACGTACCAGCTCGCTCTACGCAAGCCTCGTCACTAATTAGTGTGCAACTCCACTATAAGCAATAGGAAGAGGAGAAAGAAGCGAAACCGCAGGCCCTAGCTTGCTTATTCGGCACGTGACTAGCTGAGAATGACCATCCCTCTCATTCTTAGACCACACGGTGATTATATTATTTTTGGCCTTGATTTCGAGGCAGGAGCCTCTCAAAGGTTTATCACCATAGGGTTCGAAACAATTTGATTCCGGCTTTGATAAGAATCTCAATAATTCGTGAATTTTCGATTTTTCACTTAAATATTTTAAAATCAATTAATTATTATATTACTTTAATATAATTCCAATTTATGAAACTAATTTTTCTTATTATTTTAATATATTTTTTATTATTATAATTCTATTCTATTAACGTAGTTTATTAGCATGTGGGTTATATCAATATATGAGTCACTTCATTTTATATGTCACGGGGTAATACTAGCCCTTCCCGTCCTGTTCTGCTATATATGTGAGAGTAAGATAGAACTTTCAATTCTATCTTCTAACGTGGTTTAATACTGAGTATACTATATCATCAAATATACTACTTTTATCTCAATTTGTACTCTTTAACTTCAATATGTGATTTATTAATTATTTATTATATAATCAAATAGAAAAGAAGCTTAAATACTTTTAGCTATCAAAGTTATTTAAAAAATAAAAAACTTAATATTCGAAAAATTATTAAGCTATATGATATAATGTATATAATATTTCTTTATAGAATAAATAATTTGTTTTTTTATACAAAAATTCAAGTAAATAATTATAAAATAATTGATTTAAAAAAGAAAATATTTATTTAATATATAATTAATATAAATATTAAAGGATTGTTATTTAAATTAAATAATATAGAAAATATAACAAATTATATTTTTTAATTATAAGGAGTAAAAAAGGTTGAAAAGCTTTGGGCTTATTGATTTGTAAAGTATTATATAAAATTAAAAATATATTTTAATTATATTTATAATTTCTAAAAAACTTTTTAAAAAGATTTTAAGTTTATTAAAAATTGATTTTATATAATTTCAAATATATGAGTAAAATATAATATTCTCAATTACGATTTCTATAATTTTAATAAAATTGACTTTATAATAAATATAATATACCCTAAAATGATTATAATTAATATTAAATGAAATAATAAAAGAAAAGTAATATAATTGAGTAATTAAGAGTAAATAATAATAATTATATATAATAAAAATGAAAAGAATATTATACCTTTATTTCTAATAATTTAAAAATAAATATATCTTTCTAATTGATATACTAAAATCGATTTTTCTATAAATTAAATTATTAAACCTATATTTAATAAATAAACAAATAATAAAACAAAACTAAAATAATTAAAATACTTCAATAAATGTATAAGAAATCGAATTAAAAGCAAATATAGAATATTAGTATTAAATGAATATAAGAGTTATGAATTAATATTATTTCAAAACTATTATAAAAAGAATAATATTAAATATATATATTTATTATTATATTCAAATTATTTAATTTAATTTTTTAATATTAAATATTTTAATATTTTAAAATAAGAATATAATATTCAAATTGAAAGGTTTATAAAAGCATATATTTAATATATCTCAAAAATCGAATTCTTTATAGCTTTTAAAATTGTATATTAATAATTAATTATAAATCAGAATATAAAAACTGAATTTCAAAGAATAGAATTAATTCTATTTAATTCTAAAGCTACATTTTCTAAATTCAATATTCAAATTTATATATTCATTTTTTCTTTTTTTGATTTAAATCTCTAAATCTCTTAAATACTTTAGAATTCTATAAAAACCCTTTTTTAATTAATATTAATTAAATTTTAAATAATCTATTATTAATTAAACTCTTTTATATCTATATTCGAAATTATATTAATTTTAATTAAAAATATAAAGAAATTAACTTATAAAAATACACTTTTGAATATAAAAATTTATATATTTTAAAAAATAAATAAAATATTAAATAAATATTAATATATAAAAAACTTAATTATATTAAAAAGGAATATTCATTAAATAAGAGACTCTTAATATATTATTTTAATAAAAGATTAATATTCAGATTTAATATAATAAATATTAAAATAAGGGAAATTCTAATAAGAAAGTATTTTTTAATCAATATTATAATAAATATAGAAAATCAGATTATAATTCAAGAATTTATTAAAATAATATAATAAATCCTAAATTATTAGATTCTTAATAATTTTAATTAATTAATTTAATTGTTATTGAATAATATAAATTAGAAAGTATAAATTGAGGTAAAAGTAGTATATTCGGTGATATGATGTACTCGGTGTTAAACCACGTTAGTCTTTTGAGCTTTTAACTCAGTGGTAAAGTTTTTGAATACTTCCAGAAGTGATCCCGTGATATTATATACAAAATTCGTCTATACGTAATCGTGCACTTTCTTTATTAGCCAATAGAATTCTTCCAAAATCTATTATATAAAACCTGATTTTTCAAATATTTCAAAATTCTAATTTCTTTTTCAAAATTCTAATTTGTATTAAAGTTATCAAAGAAAAAGAGATTTTGTAACGCAAAGTGTAACAATTTTGAGCTAAAATAAATTGTTAAAAAAAACCCTAAATATTATAAATATTCCATTTTTATTATGATTTTTTATGATTTTTTCTTTTAAAAATAATGATTAATTATTAAAATATAAATATTAAAAAAACCTCGATTTTAGTATATTTTCGAAGTGGCTCATATGCTGATATAGCCCACATGCTGATAAATTACATTATATATAAATATAATATTAAAAGTTAAAAGTAAAATTTTTGAATTCCAATATTTTTATTAAATTAAACATTTATTCTTTTTGGAATTTATTATTATTATTATTCTAATTAAATATATATATATTCTAGAGATCTTATTATTCATTTTATTCTTTTTATATAAATAGAATTCTAAATAGTAAAGATTATTATTGATTTCGAAAAGGTTAGATACTCTTAACTCTAAAATTGTATTTTTATTTTAAATCTAAATGCTTTAAACTTAAGATATTTAGTTTATTAAGACAATTCAATTAATATTATCTTTAATATTAGTAAAGATAACTAAAAATAAATAAAAATAATTTAACTAATTTGAAAAAGATTCTTTTCAATTGAATATTATAGTAATAATATATTCAATTAATTTAAAGTTGATTTATATAATAATATTAATTGAGCTTCTTTAAGTATCTTAATTAATTTTTCAATAAATAGTAATTAAAAGAGTAATATATATTATTAAAAAATTTTATCTAATAGATTTAATTCCTTATCAAAAATATAATCAAAACTCTTACACTCTTAAAGAAATAAACAGCTTCTCAATTTCTGATTAATTCGAATAATTATTAATAAACACAATAATACTAAAAAGATTAATATGAATAATAACCTCAAAATATAGAATGATTTATTATCGACGAAGAGATTCTGAATATTGAGATAAATTATTTCTGTATTTCACTACGTCACAATAGGCTATGAAAGTCTATGACATCATTTTGGTCAACTGATGTCAACGAACGAACAGCAAGACCAAGTCGCACATCTGCCGCATTAGTATATCCTATTTGATCGACAGCACTTGACTTGAGCAAATATTGCGCCATTCATGACTTTTCGTAATCGCACGCGGCGCCCGTTTTGAGTAGTCAATCCAAGTCAATCTTCAACTTGTGGACAATCATTTTCTGCTAGTTGAATTAAACTGGTGACAGCTAAATCTCATACGTGGCGCTACTATTCTCATGCCTCTAAAGGTCATAACATTGCCTCGTGATTGCGTAACATGCGTGAGGGACGTGTTACTGGGTAAAAGGCAATAACATCCACCCATCATCGCTTATCATGTGTTGCCACATGGAGGACTTCGTCACCCCGGCATGAGTCTACTTAACTTCCGATGCGCATCATTACCTTAAAAAATTCCTGAGACCCCACATACGAAAAGGAATTGTCAAGATAAACCTACCCCACCTTGCAGAAAAGGGTACACTTACAAGGGGAATTATGCTTATCTAGGCGGTCGTAGAGTAGTCCTTCACATATACCACAAAAAAGTCACTATAACTTAACACCTCAGATAGAGGAGAGGAGGGGGAGACTCTACATAGCACTTCACAAGATATACTAGAAGTTGAGTGGGAACTGACTACCGTTTCTAAACTACTAGAAGAAGGACTATAAATACTAGCTACAAGAATATGCCACGTGACCAGCACAAGGTTCCGCTCACACTATGAGGAAAGGCTTACAGTAGAACTTGATTATACCGGACTGGGATATACCGGAATCTTCAATATACTGGAATAATTTCCTGATTTGGACACTTTTTATATAGCAATACCGGATTTTTAGGCAAAACCGGAATACCGAACTAATTTTTCACAAATCCGGTATCAGTTTTGGTAATGGATTTAGCTGAATAAACTTGATTGGGTGCTATCACATAATATTTTTTCGAAAATATCGGGTTTTGAAATCAAATTCGGATATAAATATTAGTGATAGTACTTAGACCATTATTTTTTATACCGGATTTGATTGGTTAAATATTTGATTCTGGTATAACCAAGTTCTACTGTATTGGGCGTCAAGAACCGATTAAAATGCCTTCAAGAATATGCTTATATTGATAGTTCTCTATAGCGGGTTGTGTTTGCATGAAAAGACAAGTGGAGAGACTAGTTTTCGGCAAGTGGACCACTCGAATAGTCCCTCAAGGTTCAGCTTTAGACTTCGACGTCTTGGAACCTAGGATTAAAGTGGATAGTATGCTACACTGTGCTCACAATTTGACATAACACATTTCGCAGCTGCAAAGAATCTGACGACTTGTAGCTTACCAGATAGTAATGCATATATTCTACCTTCTACCACCTCTATACTCCGTATTGTCTTAAATAAGGAATATAATATACATTCTTTGCGGACTGGCGCCGGCGAGACTTGCTCAAATCATTGAACTTGTAATCTCGTGCTTGAAGTTTGTGCTCCTAGCTCCAAATCTTGAAAAGTCAAATGTGAACTTCGAATCGGTGCCCGCATTGCATCCTCCCGCTGTGACAGAAAGATGACAGCTGAGCTGTTCGATGACATATCTCCTTTCACTATTGGCGTAGTTAATTCAATTTCTGAATGACTGGCGTTGTCATTGGCTGCTGATGGCTTTGCATACAGGAAATGGCACATGAAAAAGATCCTTCCTGCACAAACTTGGAGTATCGAATATTTCCAAAACTTGTTTCTTTCCCAGTCGACGAATGCTGACCCTAAACCAAGTCTACACTAAAGCAAAATGTAAGTACTAACGATCAGATATAGATACGCGTCTGTGATACAGATTCCATCATACAGTAGATGTGGATCAGTATGCTTTCATGTATGTACATTTTTTGGCCATAGACCCACAGCAAATGCACTCGAATTAGGTTAGGGTTTCCTACACTACTTCAGACCCTTATCAGCCTCACATCATAGTAGAAGATTCTGTCATATCCTAGTGCTAGTCATGGATCCACTTATGCGTCATCAAAGTGAGACTATCGAGGGGAATTAAACAACTCAGCAAAGGGAGAGCGCAGATACTTAAAAGATAGAAATGATAGAAATTGACGATTTTCCGTAAATTCGATTTATAGACAGCTACTTTCTTGCTACAACAACCAAGGCTTGCTCTAGACACTTCAGATTGTCCAATCTCCATAACATACAGCAGTAATCATGGCTATGTTCTTTACAGGCAAGCTCTAAGACTTGCCATGATAGGACGGACTGAGTGCTAATTATGGTACAGACAATAAGTTTCGACAACAGCGCGTTACAGATCTTGTTAACCAATCTGTGATGATTCAAGATGAAATGAAAAGAGTGGATGCAAAATGGAAGGAGAACGACATACGCGCATACCACTACCTCGAAAAAGTTTCTAAAGCAGCTGGTTATCCTACGCCCCAGGACTACATAACCGCGGCTATGGATAGGCTACCCGAGAAGGAAAAGTCAGAATGGTATAGAAAGAGAGATGAGGCAGTTAAGCTCAGTGAGGATATGAAGATTGCTTTTGATGTTGCCGGTGGTGTCTTCGCTCTGGCCGTTTTGGGGCGATTAGGAAGTAAGTCATCTTCGAAAATGACCCACACGCCTTGGCTAATCCATCCAGCTACCGAGCGAGGACTTGCTCTGCTCGGATCCCTGGTCAGATACTCTGGTCTCCGAGTCCTAGCGAACGTGGTCGCTCGGGGTGCCACAGGTATGTGAATGATCAGCTTGAGATCGAAGCCCTCATTGCTTATTGTAAACAGAACTTGGACCTCTTGCTGCGAATGCCATCAAATTAATTACTGAATGCTTCAAAAGTAGTGCTGCTGAAGTGTCGGCTGCACGTGATGCTGGTCTGGTTGGGGACGTAGCTCAGGAAGCAAAATTGTTCACTGAGGCTGCAGAATCAGGCATAGCAATTGAGAAGGGTGTTGGTGGCGCCGCCGAGGTCGCCGCTGAAGGATCCGAAGCAGCGGCCGAAGGTGCACAGGTTGTAGGACGAGGAATGCGCTACTTCAAGATCGCGGGCAATACATTGAGCGTAGCCGCCGCTTTAGTGACTGTTGGTGTTCTAATTTTCGACGCAGTTGAAGGCGCCAAACAGAAAGCTGAGCTAGAGAAGTATGAATTATCGAAAAGGGAGAGAATTGCTGCTAAAGAAAAATGTTAGGAAAACACTTGAGTATCTTGCAAAGAGATTTTCAATCAAACAGGGCGCTATGAGACTTGACCAAGCTTTTACTAACTTTCTAGACATGACAAAGCTCATTGTAAAGGAGGATGCTTATAATGACCTGGTGGCTGACGGAACTATTACCGAAGAGAAAAAAGAAGAAAAAATGAAAGCGTTAGTTCAAGTTATGGTCTCCAGCTACAAAGAGGTTTGAACCCTGTCCTTGTCTTTGAGATTTGTTAACTCAGTTATTATAGTCTTTTACCATTATCGAAGATCAGACAATCCTTGATCAGCTCAAGAGTATTGATACCACAATGAATTCTTGGACCGATGAAGACAAAGGTCTTGAAGAAATCAAACAATGGCTTCGGAAACATCCAGCAGATCAATCAGAGAAGCAGTAAGACTATAGTAAAGAACTATAATCCATTATAATATGTGATAATGTAAAGGAAACTTATATAGGATATAATAAGACTAGAATGAATCTATAGAGTAAAGAAGTTTACTTGTGTAATAAAATGTTAATAATACGATTTGATTGCTTTAGGAGTTATGATCTAGCTAATTGTTCTGAAAGGAATAACATTTATTTCTTTTACACGGCGCTCAATTTTCGATATCATGCTTTTCCTAAAAACAATATTCAGTTAAGGTAAATATCCCTACCTCTTATACACAGTGCGTTTTACCCAGTAAAATACGAAGCTCAGGTATTTTTTGTATAGGAAATTTATTACAATATTTTATATACAATCTCTGTTATATGTAAAAATTAGTATAGCTTCAAGATTATGAATTGTAATGATTCGATTCCTTTCAGGTTCCCTTCTTAGTCACCTAGCTTCTAGGACCTTGACCCATCACGTGACCCATTGATATATATAGTCCAGAGCTCTTATAGTTCTCTTCTTGTTCTTTTCTTCCTTCTCTAGTTTTAGATTCTAAGATAGAATTGAATCTTTTTATAATAGTCCTTTATATAAGATGTCTATATTCTAATTAATAAATCATAGTACTCTATTCCACCTATCCTAGTTTTATATATACTCATCTACATATAAAAGAATTCTAGATATTAAAAATAAGATTTATAGACTGTAAAGACTCTATAATATAATATTAAATAATAATATTTAGAGTTTAGATTGAAAAAGATTAATCAAAAATAACTTTTTAAAACTTAAAAGTATTAATATTAAAATTACTTATATTAAATATCTCTCGGCTTACTCTTTTCATAGACTTTTAAGATTCTTATTAATCAAAATTCTATATAAAATTGATTAATATTAATAAAATGATTCAAACAAATTATTTTGTATACGAAACTAGTATTATTAATATAAATTTCTAATGATTTTTATTATAGATATATAAAATCTAATTTATAGATTTAGATTTACATAGTCTATAGTTATTAAATATAAGCTTATCAGAATCAAATTATCAATATTCAATCTTTAATTTTTCAATATTCAATCTTCGATTTTTCGATTTTTCAAATTTTAATCTTTCAATATTTAGTATTTAATCATTCAATTGTTACGTGATTGAATATAATAGAAGTTATAAGATTTACTACTATACTAGATATACAATTTATTCAAAAGGCATAGTATTAGGAATCGATTCCTGATAGCTTACTACTATATTTATATACTTGTGTAACAGAATTATAGAAATGAATAATTAAAAATATTTTTATAAGATTTAATGGTTTTGAAAGTATTATAAAAATTAAATTATTAATAGGATTTTTAAAAATAAATGAGAAAATTTCAAATAGATATAGAAATATACAATTTATAAGATTTCTATTATAAATCAATTATTTCGAGATAATCATAAAAATGAATTATTTACTAAGTTTTGATTTTTAAAAAATTATTTTAAAGAAATTATCATAATAAATTACTTATAAGATTTTCATTATAAATAGATTATTTGAAAAGAATCACAAAGATAGATTATTTCTATATGTTACGAGAGCTGCCTCTAGAGTCACATGGAAGTGTCTAGAGATCTCTCGAAATAATTTAGGCTAGACTTCAAATAGAAATTCAATAAGATTATAACTATAATTCAATATTTTATTATCTGTGTGAACAAGGGTATTCACTTCAAAGGAATGACTTCAAAGGAATGACTTTAATATAATAACTATTATATCAAAGGGATTAAGTAAATGCAAAAGAGACTAGCTCTTTTAATAATATTTATATAAACCCTATTACTTTTCTATATAACTAAATTTTTAGATAAAATATAATTAGATATACAAAACCTATAAATATATAAATACTATATTTTTTATATCCTATTCGAATTAATATTAATTAATAATATTACAAATTACTTTAAAAATTAATTATTCAAAATATCTTTTTATTTTTATTCTTTTATTTCTATTATCAATATTATAATATTTTAAGTAAATTTATTAAATAAATAATCTGATTTATTTATATTTATAGTTATAGGAGTTTATAATAATATTTTTTCTTATTTTTATTATAACAAAATTGTACTTTTAGAAATTAAAGTTCTTTGGAATAAGGAAAAAGATAATTTAAGAAATATAAAGTTCAAAGGGGAATCTCAGAATTTTTTTTTTGAAGGATTTTTCTATAATTAAATAATTCTAAAAAGAGTTTATATTTCGATTTATAATTAAATATTATATTAATAATTATTTTCAATTTAGAATTATTATATATTTAAAAATAAAAATTATTAATATATTCCTTTAGAAAATAATTATATATAATTTTGAGATTATTCAATAATCTTGGATTAAGAATATTAATAAATTAATATTATATAATTTCTAGAGATTTCTATAAAATTATAAAATATATATTGATTTTAATTTGAATATTAAGAATACTCTTATTGAGATATTTTTATACAAAAGATATTATAATCGAATCAAAATATAACTTTTAGAATATCAGATTAACAAGATATAATTTTTTTATATTTGTAAAATGAGCTAATTTTTCTATTAAATTCAATATGAAAACTCAAATTGAATTCTTTATTAATTTTTCTATTGAATTTCTAAATAATAATATAATTGATTATCTAACTTTATTGAAATCTAATAAAATTATAAATAATCTGATTATTCCTTTTAATATATATAAAAAACTATTCTTATTTTATAATTCTAGAAATAAATAAGATTCATATATAATTTTATTCAGATTTAATAAAGATCTATTAATAAATACTTTTATAAGATTATTTAATAATAAAAATAATAATCCAAATAATTCTAATGATAAAAATAATCAAGATAATAATAAAGATAATCATGATAATAAAAATAATAATAATATTAAAAATAATAGAAATTATAATTATTTTAATTATTTTAATTATTTTAATTACAAAAATGATTAAAATAATAATTAATATAATCAAAGTTACTATTTTATTAATCTTTCAAAAATCTTTAAAAATAATAATAAATATAAAAATATTAATAATTCTTTTAATTTGAAAACTTCTATATTTAGGGAATATTATTAAAAAATATTTACATTATTTAAAATGATTATAATAGCTTTTCTAATTATATTTTTAGGTATAATTAAAGAATATTATTAAGCGAGTTTGAGTAATCTCTTTGATTTATATTAAAACTCATACAAAATACTAGTTAATAATTTCAAAAAATCTAAATATTAATAAAATATATTCTTTAAATAGAATAATATTATTTTTAAAGTTTATATCGAAAAAAACCTAAATATAAATCTTCAGGAAATATTTAATATAATAATTATAGATTTATATTTCCTTCAATATATTATTCTTATAATTATATATAACTCTTAATTATATTATATCAAGAGAAAATACTTATTGAATAAAAAGCTTTTGATATATTATTTCAATAAAAAATTAATATTTAGATTTAATGTGATAAATATCAAAAAAGAAGGAATTTTAATAGAAAAATATTTTCTAATTAATATTATAGTAAATATAGAAAAACTGGATATAATATAAGAACTTGTTAAAATGATATAATAAATTCTAAATTATTAGAATTTTAATAGTTTTAATTAATTGATTTAATAATTATTGAATAATATAGATTTGAAGATGTGAATTAAGGGAAAAGTGGTCTACTCGATGAGATAGCTCACTCGATGATAAACTATGTTAAAACTTTTATTCGAAAATATAAAATAGAATATAATAAAAACCAGTATTTCATTTTTATTCTATTTAATAAATATAAATAAATTCAAGTTCAAATATAACAATCTTAATAATATTATTATTATATTTAAAAGTATTTATTTTATATATTAATAACTTAACTATATATTTTTATCATAAAATATTAATATTTAAGATTTAATTAATTATTTTATTAATAATAAAGAATATTATTTTATCAAAATCAAATTATAATAAATTTACTATCGATTCGATTATTTATTTATTTATAAATTCTATGAAATATTTAAGTACTTTAAATATAATAAAGATCTTAAGGTAATTAAATAATTTACTAAGTTTTATCATTATTATTAAATTTATAATAAGTTATTTAACAAATTTAAATTCTTCTTATTTAATAAGAATTTTGAATTTTAATTATATGATATTTATTAATATATTTTATATTAAAAATAATCCTATTCTATATATTATTAATAAAATAATATATTTTCAAATTACTTAATAATTAAGTAGTATATATCTATAAAATATATATAGAATAAGCTCTATAAATACTAAATTAATATATATATCGAATTATTAGAATATATTATTTATAATATTAACATTAGTTTTATTATAAAAGAATTCTAATAATATACTATATTAATATTCATTCAAATAAAAATAATTTCTATAGAAACATATTATTCTATTAATATTATTAAAAAGATCTTATAGAATTATTTATAATAAAATTTATAATTTAAATATTAATAGAATAATTATATTTTAAATAATTATAAAAACTATTAACAATATCACTAAATCTAATAGTTTAATATCTACATTATTTGTTTTTAGCATATTCCCCTATATTATTGAAAATAATCTTCTAATATCTATTATTTAATAATAAACTACTATAATCTCTGAGATTATAATAAAAGTCCACAAACTTTATAACTCTATATATATATAAAAAGTTCTAAATATATATAACAGCTTCTTTATAACTACACTTTAAAATTTATTACCAAATAATATTATTTTAATAAATAAAAAGAATTATTCTTATTATTTAATATAAATAATAAAATATATATATTTAATTTATTTTATAAATCTATAAGATTTAGATTTATATTAATAAAGCCTTATTATTAAATCAATTAAATTAACTATATTCCAAATTATTTTAATGAATATAAGATAATTTTATTAAAATCTAATAAATTTAGACAATCTGTTTTTAATATATTTGTTATATATATTATAAATTCTAAGAAATCTTTTTTAGATTTATTTAAAAATAGTTAGATATTTACATTAATA